CTGTAAGGCAGTAAGGAAGTATTATAGCTATAGGTTATGTACAGGTTTTTGTGATTTTACCTGTAAGGCAGTAAGGCAGTATTATAGCTATAGGTTATGTACAGGTTTTTGTGATTTTACCTGTAAGGCAGTAAGGCAGTATTATAGCTATAGGTTATGTACAGGTTTTTGTGATTTTACCTGTAAGGCAGTAAGGCAGTATTATAGCTATAGGTTATGTACAGGTTTTTGTGATTTTACCTGTAAGGCAGTAAGGCAGTATTATAGCTATATAGCTATAGGTTATGTACAGGTTTTTGTGATTTTACCTGTAAGGCAGTAAGGCAGTATTATAGCTATAGGTTATGTACAGGTTTTTGTTTAGTTTTAAAAGGTTCAGCATCCTATTAACAGTTAAGTTCCTTTAAGGATGTGCTTCCATGTGTGTTCAGATGTATCTGTGCTGCAGGCAGGTTATGTTGGCGAATTTGCCACAATAGTGCGGATCTGTTGCTGTCTTTATAGTACAATCACACTGAAATACCATTCTGAAGCAGGCACGCAGCACATTCCACCTGGCCAAGTCATACTGACAACAGGTGATGATCATGAACCAGTTGTTGCAATTATCAAAATGCTTCGTTTCGTAAGGAATAAAAACAGTACAATATATTTTTAAGGACTTTTGTACATAATATGTCCCTGCCTGGGGACAGAACCTAATCTACTTAATCGGGTAGATGTTCAACACCTAAGACCAAAAGTAAAGTATTGCGAAGTAACTAGGAAACAAAAAGTCTGTTAGGAAGTAGACAGAAAGTATAAACCCTGTGTACAGGTATACATCATGTATACCTGTACACAGCGTTTATATATACATGTCATGTATACATATATATGACACAGACAGGTGTAAATCACCTGTTAATATATAACTTTCACAACATTTGTATACATTCACAAACAGGATACAGATTTGTTATGTAAACACTATAGCTACCTGTGTGTGAGATTGGCTGTGTTATCATGTATAGTGTACATGTGTCCTGTATTACGACAATTTACAGTATCATAATATATAGTCCCAGTATATGATAAACATCCAGAGACAGGACAAAAATCTATCTACCCTACAAACACAAGGATCTTAAAATTATACTGCAACTCCGAATTATCCACACCTGACCAGTATATACATGTACTTGAAATACAGACACAAACCTTTCAGTATCCCAACATTTTGATGTGCTTTCCTAAACTACCATGATAGCTTCTCTTTGATGTTGATATATCTCCCCACCAGAGTCAAGTGGAAAGCATTGTTAGCTTACAAAACAATTCAAAACTTTTTTATGAAACCTAAGGAAAAAGAAAACTATTTTGAGTTTCTGTATCTACATACATGTATGTACATGAACAATATGTATTTCAAAGGCATTTATTAGCCATGTTTATGTCAATATCATAAAACATGTTATAGACCCAATCTGTATTATTGTTTAAGCTAACTAGCCTTTTTTACAACAGGGCCCTGTACAGAAGCAACATCGTAGCTGTAACTGACCCAATCCTCACACCTTCCCCACGTTCACATTAAAAAAATCTGATAAGCCTTAACCATTGAGCCCCGTTTTTTCTCCGACTAAAGATTGAAACAACCACTGTGTAAACGTATTGAAGAGTACAAACCAGAGGAGAGCTGTACCATGTCGGTACAAACGTGTAAAATGTTGTACACTTAAGTTTTTATATTCTTGCCGACTGGGAGGTTATACTATATACATGTATTATTTGTACACTCCTGTTAATGTTGTATACATTGAGTAACTCACTCACCCCTGAAAACACATTTGAACTATTCCAATTCAATGGTTGGAATAGTTCATTATGAATATTCAGGGGTGAACAAGTTAATGCAAAATCAAGATTTATAATATCTGGGATGTACAACTTTATATTGATATTTGAGTACTAGACTACAGGCAGATTTTTACCAAAACATTACCAACCCAACCTTTATTTTCACAGTAAATATTAAGATATTAAACTTAATCCATAAAATATTACAGTCTTAGGAAAGTAGTAGTGTTCAACCAAGTTACTTGCATTGTCGGGGATTAATGCAGGAATAGAAATTTAGTTGTTTTTTTAAATAGGGGAAAATATGGAGGGGGCATGGATGGCATCTTTAATTTTTCCTTAGGCCTGTTCATTATAGATGCTTTGAATCAAATACTGTAATCAAAGACAGCAATATATAGTGTCGTAAAACATCGACAGTGACAACATGGACACAAGGAATATGAAATAAATCACTTGTTTGCCGAACTGATGGATTTTGTTTTACAATTTAACCATGACAGATATTCATGCAAAGTATTTAAGTTACATGTGGGTGAATTTTTAACTGTAATAGGGGAAAATAATGCCAACATTGGAGAGGGGAATTGGTCATAAAAAAGGGTGTGTACTTCCATGATTGTACATGTACACGCATACCCCTATACTTTTGTATACTTATAAATAATTCTGCAGTGAGAATGTATTCATTGCAGCTTATAATCATAAGGCAACAGTTGTTTACCCAAAAAGAAGCTTTAACATCATAAGTTAATTTTGAAATTTATGGATAAATTACAAAAACTACAAATATATATTCAAATCATTTAATACACCAACAGATCATTCCTGTCCATTGGAAGTTATTTTTAGAACACCTGTATAGCTGATCATCACATACCTAGCATGTGTATATTTGACATATTTACCAAAGACCATGACCCGTAGTACTGTACATCCAAAATGTTTGAATTGCTCCAAAACCTCAGATATTATGTTCACCACTTATACGTACACATGTTTTTTTATTATTAGATCTATTCCCATCTTACTCTTAACAATGAACTTCCCCATTAAATCAAACCTTATTTATGGTCAGATCTGAGATAAACATTGTAAAATCAGTGTATTTTGAAACGTTTTCCTTCGGGTTGGTAAATACATATATATATATATATATCACAAACATAACCATTTATCTGGTTGTGTTATAGCTGGGGGATCTGTACATGCAGGGCCCACCTGGGGTTCAACATTGTGGGTTAAACCCTACATGTAGAATGACTAATAAAATAACAAGACTCTGTTCAAAGGCCTGGATTTGGGGAATGAAGGGAGATATACTGTATATATATACTATATATCGAAAATACTTATTTTTTGCTTGTACTTGACTGTACACATTTATTATGGAACATTAGGTTCAATGTCTACCATAAAAATATTTTTTTAACTTTAAGCTAATTATCAGCTTTATACTTTATTTTGGATGTTATATAATTAGCTATAAAGTGGGCTTCTGGAAGTACATATAGTTTAAATAAATAAGATGACTTTAATTCTGCAACAATGTTCCATTCCCATCTGATCAATATTTCAAAATTAATGCTGATCTTTCCTCCAAAGCATCAAAACAAACAACAATTAATTCAGACTACACAGTAATATCCAGGATATACATATTCTTGAACATGTACACGAAATTTAATAAAAATCAGGGTTGAATGGCTGAGGTAAAGATGTTTTGGCACTGGGTCATGTATCCCAAGTAAACAAAAACAAAAAACATTTTTTACTTTATTTCCTTTCTTGTTCTATGTGTTGATGATTCTATATTTTAAGAATCCTCAGCATTTTTATGATTAGTGTTTTCAAAAGCGTACCAAACAACCAGGGAGCCAGGACTTGAGTCCAGCAATCCATACCAAGATTTGGTTCATTCCTACCATGGATTTAAGTTGCTTCGTACCTTATATATATTTCATAAATTTGCCAAATACCTCGGCCCAAATCACCATGCAAATGCAACTTATTTATGAGAAATTCAATCAAGAAAAGTAAATAAGTCACTATTTTTTTTATTGTGATTATATATGTGGTATGACTATCACACTTGAAAAAGCTTAATTAATGTTAACACCTATATATAATAATAAAATTTAATGAATATATGTCATGTACGGTACCAATATAATACTTTGGTACCGAGCACCTCAAATGCCATACTCAGGGCCAAAACCACAGGAAAGGACATGACTGTCACCTATCTTATACACCAATACTGTCAGTAAGAGAAGGAAGTAGATGTATATAAATATAAAACAAAACCAGGAAAGTGACAGAAACGGTCATTATAACAAACTATTATACAACTTTATAAAAAGAATGGGACATCTTATTTTTCGAACAAGATAGGGTCACTGATCACATGAATATTCAATAAAACAACAATGACCCCAATAATAATTTCGTGAAATAAAAAAATGAACATGAAATGATGATAACAGACGTCAGAATTCACAGGCAAAAGTTCATCAAGTCAAGAAGAGCATAAAAAGTGAATAAGAAATATTGATATACCACTTTACCTGGCGTATAATCCTTATAGCTGTGTTGATGTTCTTTAATTCACTTATAGAGGAGGACAGGACCAACGCCCAAATATGTTCCTTTCGTCGCCCGTGTCGGTTGATAACCCTTCTATGAGTAATCCACCATCACTTCTCAACAAAATGGCGACTCGCCTGTTTATCGGCACGAAAGTTCTACCGGTGTCTCGGCTTTAAGATGTGTCCGGATGTATAAAATTCACCACAGGAAACTCTTAATCTGGAACCTCCCTAGCTCTGGCACAGAATTATACACATGGTCAGACATCGTCAGGAAAGTCTAGCATAACTTGTCCCGGAAAAAGGTCCTTCACAGTTTCCTCCTAGTTGACCTTACCCGGAAGTGAACAGAAAAGTTTTACAGTGACATATACTTTTTTTTTTAAAGTTAAAACAAACTGACAAGCCCCTCTGTGAAGGGAAATATCACAAATGTATACATTTATAAATAAAACAAAGTTTACTTTAGCAGATTATTAAATAAATCAAACATAAATCTACATTTTTTAGTTTTTATTTTCGCCGCTTGAATCATTATCAATATCCATGGTGCCGCTTAGAGCCTTCCAAAACTAAATATGGGAGACACGTGCGTTAGACAGATGTGGACAACATGTTTGTTTATGTTGCTAATTGGCTTCTCCGCGTGCAGATCCCAACAGCTAGAAATGGTGACGAAGGATTCGTTAGAGGAAATTATTAAGGATACGAAATATGTTCTTGTTTTATTTTGTAAGTGAAAGGAATTCACAAAAACTGGATAGATGTTTTGCATGACACGTTGCAATATGACTGATGCGTTTCCATAATTTGACAGACTGTTGCCACCCTAATAGCAAATTTTAAAACATGGATAGGCCTATCAGTCAGATAACATAGATACATGTATTATAATTCAATGTTGTTTTAGCCAAGTCTTGTGGTCAATAAAAAAGGCGCGTTTTGTGCACATGATGAGGATGCTTCTACTGAAGAATCATAAAATTTTAAAAAAAAATCTGCAACACAGAGAACACAAAACACAAAAAGAGTGTGAAGTTAAAACGTTATAAAACGTCGATACGACCTTTGAGAATTACCAAAACGTCTGAAATAAGTTAACAGCTTAGTACTGATATTAATACCTTGCCTCCTCTGCCCCGAAAAATTGTCCAAAAATGAATTGTGTCCAGTGTTCTCAGTCTACATTTAAAAAACTTTTTTTGCCCGTTTTTCTTTGATTATTTCCTGAGATTGTTTGATATCTGTTCCAGTTTATGACACTGAGACATGTCCTCGGTGTGTAGCAGCTGAGAAAGAACTTCTTCAGGTAAACACCATGCCAGACTTGTATGACCATGGTATGTATGACTTACCTCCCCTTGAACTAAATTCTGAATTAGTACTTTTGAATGATGAGTTGTATATTGCAGAATATAAAAAATTCGCTTTATGTTTGAATTGATTTAAATGTTATGGATTGATAAGTAAATGATTCGAGCAAAAGATATTTGAAATATTGAAATAACATGGAAAGATCATTACCCTGTGATTGTTTCAATTTGTACCAGCATCGTTTAGTTATCTTATAATATAACCATGTGGTTAAAAGGAATTTCTCTTTATCTCAGTCACCCCGAGAATTTCATAATTAGTTATCCATTCTTTGAATTGGAAGGGTTCGAATGTGTCTTCAGGGGTGAATGAGTTAACATGGCTGGTAGATAACCAGGTTAGACTCAGTGCTGAGAATCTTAGAAAATGTTACCTTAGTTTTATTGTCAGCTACATGGGAACCTTTGTAATGCATGGTAATCCATTAATGATGCTATATGACAAGTATATATGTACATATATGATAAAAGCAGAAAAATGATCCTTACGGACGATAAAATATTATGAAAAGAAAAATTCTCTCAAAAGTCTTATAGTACTTTCATCTCTGCTAGGAGATTCTAGACTAAAAAAAATATAGATATATATAGTAATTCTCCTGGAGACTTTAGGATGAGAATTTTCTACACAATGGGAGTAAAAAATATAAAATAGTATATTCTTTTTCCAGATCTCTCCAAAATAGATGTGGTCTTACAATGTACTTCTATCAAGTTTTTACAAATTTGGTTATAGGGTTATATGTATGAAATATGCATGACTCCCAGGTTGGTTAGTTATCAGGGTTTAACATTCTATTAACAGCTAAGGTCATTTAAGGACGTGCCTCCATGTGTTTTGTGTGTCAGTGCATGTGTGTACGTGTGCTGAATGCAGGGTATGTTGGTGTAATTGTCTCCTTGTGATAGCACATACATCTTTAGTGACCAGGACTTATGTCTGATGTTATACTATCCAGACTACATTGCAATAATGAGACCTTCTAGAGTACCGCCACAACTTGTGTTGTACATAATGTTCTGCTCTGACACAATTGTAATGTCAAAGTTAATTTAAAAGCATCAATTGCACAGTGGTTTAATGTTTAAAAAAATCATTCTTAAACATCGATTTTGGAAATGTTAAGTTTAATATCTTATATACATTATGTGCCAGTGGTGAAAGATCTAGTTATTTGTTACTGACTCAGCTAGAGGGGTTTTCTCTTTAGCCGAATCAGTAAAGCACTAGACTGTTTATCTGTAGTCTTTGGTTGTAGTCTCAGCAGAGGCACATTAGTTACAAATGTAGTACAAATTGACCGGACTACACTGATGGCTGTTGGTCGTTTGCACTCTATGCTTGACAAAGGAAACAGCCATTTTCGAAAGCTTGCAAAATGAGTTTTCTATTATTGTTTGGGTTCAAAACAAACTAAAGTATTTATTATGCAGTGGTGACTGTTTTTCTGTTTTCCAGCTATTCAGCTCATTAAGTGTGAAGATCCGGGGATGGCAGTAAAGTATGGGGTAACAACTGTTCCCCAGGTCGTCTACTTCAGAGACGGGGTGCCCGCTTTATTTGAAGGTAGGACATAGACCAGTTAAGTGGACACAAGTATTCCCTTACTTGTGATGAAAACTGTAGCTTTGCATTAGAAACTGCTGTTTCTTGCATGACTATAGGTTTGATAAATCATTTCGCAAATAAAGAACCATATGCCTTGCGGGACTTTGCTCCTGATCAATCTGACGTAGACAGGTATAATGGGTGAATTGCCTGGTCATGTGGGGGTTTTCAGGGTACACCGGTTTCCTCCCACATTAAAAGCCTCTATGTGTGTACCTCCAGGCAAAACAAAGAGTGATCAATATCTAAGTTGTAATAAGTTCCTTTGTTGCTGCTGTACATGTCATACAAATAAAGTTTATGTTATAAACATGATGTACCTTTAGGCAGGTACACTGACATGCTGGTTGTATTTTTTAGTCTTTTTTGAGTTAACAGACAGTAACAATGGCCTCTTTTTAACAGTGCCCCATGATGTTAGAGAGATCCGAACAGAGGATGTGGAGATTTTCGTGGACGAGGCACAGCAGGTGGCAATGAAGACACTTAACGATGACAGCTTTGAGCACCTGACACAGGCCGCAACAGGGGCCACCACAGGGGACTGGCTAATCATATTGTATGTAATGGGGGCACCACAGGGGACTGGCTCATCATATTGTATGTAATAGGGCCACCACAGGGGACTGGCTCATCATTGTATGTAATAGGGGCCACCACAGGGGATTTGCCCATCATATTGTATGTAATAGGGGCCACCACAGGGGACTGGATCATCATATTGTATGTAATAGGGGCACATCAGGGGACTGGCTCATCATATTGTATGTAATAAGGGCCACCACAGGGGACTGGCTCATCATATTGTATGTAATAGGGGCCACACTGGGGAATCGGCAATTTACATTGTAACAAACAAAGGGGGAAAGAGCCAGTGCTTGTCCAATGTATGATCCATCTATTATGCGCTCGCTGGAAGTTGGATACCGATCAGTAATGCATGGAGTTCCTTAATAGCAAATAGAAAATAAATATTCCAGACAATATAATACATTTATAATGCATTCACTGATCTGACTATATATATATATATTTGAGAACATTAAATTGATAGTAAAATGAATAAAACTTGCCACTATGGTAAGTTATGTGAGAGCTAAAGTTGAACATAAATGTCCATTCTATTTCCTCAACCAATACACTATAAACGTAAAGTTGAATTTTATTTATGCAATGTTTATAACTTTGTTATTGTTTATTTTAGCTACCGACCATCATGTGATGGCCATCTTTCTGCTATAGAAGGGGCTGGTGTTAAGTAAGTAAATTATAAATTGATTTTGCAAATTTCAATTCCACCCACCCCACTGCAACCCCCGAAAAAATATATAACTAGTAATTTGAAATTTAAATAACTCTTGATTACACCCCTCCCTCTGGTTCCTACTGTGATATGTTTTTCTTTCAGGCTGAGACACAAGATGAATATAGCCAAGATCAATATAGATGAGAGTCCTCGTCTCAAGAAACGATTCAAGATTATAGATTGTCCTACAACTTACTTGTAAGTAAAGAATATCTCCCTTACCTGCAGGTTTTTCGAACTGATGAGTAAAGATTATCTCCCTTACTTGCAGGTTTTTCAGGTGACGAAAAAATGTCATTATAATTTTCAATTTAAAATATTTTAGCTAGGCTGATCCACAAATATTTCTATATTGTATTGGTCAAAATGTAGACAATGTTCATATTCTGGAGATAATTAAAGTCTATATACCTGTATCAAGTAAAATTATGAATATACAGGTGACGAAAAAATGTCATTAATTTTCAATTTAAAATATTTTTCACGACAACTTTATGATACAACAACTTATAATGTTTGTTACAGTTTCCGTCTGGGACGTATGTACCACTACTTCTCAGAGGAACAAGACCAGTATCATATCCGCCCGCTCATCAATTTTGTGTCATCCTGGTATAAAAATGTCAAGGCAGAAAGTGTACCGATGGAACCAACAGCGTTGTAAGTTGGATTGGGGTGTGCCGATATGTGCACGTGTTCAGCCTGATGTTACTGAATGCTTCAAAGACAACAAACATTGATATGCATCTGCATAAAGATCTAAAGTCATTAAATTAAAAATAAATAACACATTTAATTAATAAATGATGTGAGAAAAAAGATATTTGTATAAATGTTTGTGTCAAGGGTCGATTTTCTGAGCATTCTGGACATCCGATTTAAAGGGAGGAAATAGGCAATGTCTGGGTTTTACAAAATTTGAAAACCCCTCGGGTGGCATTTCCCTATCCTTCACCCTTGGGCATGAAAGAGTCTTATAATCTATTCAATGGGGATTATTTTAGTACAGTTACATATTTGAGAGTAACATGAAGTATTTCATGGTAGCATATGCTATTTCTTGGAAACAGAGTATTGTAATGGTAACATATTGGATTTTAAGATAACAAAGCGTATTTTAAGGTAGGATAATGTATTTTATGTTAACATACAGTATTTTAAGGTAGGATAATGTATTTTATGTTAACATAAAGTATTTTAAGGTAGGATAATGTATTTTATGTTTACATACAGTATTTTAAGGTAGGATCATGTATTTTATGTTAACATACATTATTTTAAGGTAGGATAATGTATTTGATGTTAACATAAAGTATTTTAAGGTAGGATAATGTATTTTATGTTTTCATACAGTATTTTAAGGTAGGATAATGTATTTTATGTTTACATACAGTATTTTAAGGTAGGATAATGTATTTGATGTTAACATAAAGTATTTTAAGGTAGGATAATGTATTTTATGTTTACATACAGTATTTTAAGGTAGGATCATGTATTTTATGTTAACATACATTATTTTAAGGTAGGATAATGTATTTTATGTTAACATAAAGTATTTTAAGGTAGGATAATGTATTTTATGTTTACATACAGTATTTTAAGGTAGGATCATGTATTTTATGTTAACATACATTATTTTAAGGTAGGATAATGTATTTGATGTTAACATAAAGTATTTTAAGGTAGGATAATGTATTTTATGTTAACATAAAGTATTTTAAGGTAGGATAATGTATTTTATGTTAACATAAAGTATTTTAAGGTAGGATAATGTATTTTATGTTTTCATACAGTATTTTAAGGTAGGATAATGTATTTTATATTTACATACAGTATTTTAAGGTAGGATAATGTATTTTATGTTTACATACAGTATTTTAAGGTAGGATCATGTATTTTATGTTAACATACATTATTTTAAGGTAGGATAATGTATTTTATGTTAACATAAAGTATTTTAAGGTAGGATAATGTATTTTATGTTTACATACAGTATTTTAAGGTAGGATCATGTATTTTATGTTAACATACATTATTTTAAGGTAGGATAATGTATTTTATGTTAACATAAAGTATTTTAAGGTAGGATAATGTATTTTATGTTTTCATACAGTATTTTAAGGTAGGATAATGTATTTTATGTTTACATACAGTATTTTAAGGTAGGATCATGTATTTTATGTTAACATACAGTATTTTAAGGTCGGATAATGTATTTTATGTTAACATACAGTATTTTAAGGTCGGATAATGTATTTTATGTTAACATACAGTATTTTAAGGTCGGATAATGTATTTTATGTTAACATACAGTATTTTCAGGTAGGATACTGTATTTTATGTTAACATACAGTATTTTAAGGTCGGATAATGTATTTTATGTTAACATACAGTATTTTACGGTAGGATAATGTATTTTATGTTAACATACAGTATTTTAAGGTAGGATACTGTATTGAAAGTTAACAAATCATATTTTAAGGAACGATACAGTATTTAAAATTTACATACAGTATTTTAAGGTAGGATACTGTATTGAAAGTTAACAAACCATATTTTAAGGAACGATACAGTATTTAAAACTTACATACAGTATTTTAAGGTAGGATACTGTATTGAAAGTTAACATACAGTATTTTAAGGTAGGATAATGTATTGAAAGTTAACAAACCATATTGTAAGGAACAATACTGTATTTAGAGTTAACACAGTATTTTAAGGTAACAGACAGTGTTTAATAGTAACTTGTGTATCCTATATTCACGACCTGTTGTATTTCTTTACTTTTCTTCATGTTGTAGTGATGCACTTACGGAGGGTATAGCTGATTATTTAAAGGTGAGTACAGTGAATCTTGTTTGACTATATTCCTTGTCTATATAAGGTTTTAGTAAATTGGATTCCATATGTAAAATTTTGAATTCTTGTTTTGTCAAAAAAGTATCTTAGAACAATAAGGCCGTTCTTGTTTATCGCGGTCAAAACGGTTGTACTGGTTGGACCACTGTTGTTCGTTTATGAAATAAGGTCGGACCCAGTAATCTTATGTTGCCTTCAGGCTAGCCTTGACAAATCCTTGCAAGGTCTGCATAAACTTTTGTAGGTCCGACATGATTTATACCCGAAAATGTTATCTTTAAAATACCTGCTATGCCTGAGTTATCTCCCTTAAATAACCCATTGTAATCCTCGCTGCCAATGTACTGTCTCTCGGACAAATCAAACCCGCTGCTCCTGTCAACATGTGTATTCCAGAATGCCCCGAACCGGAAGTACGCTCCATAATACAATACATATGCAAGACCACACAATTGTGTTTTTCTAACGAATCAGAAAGCATTAGTTTATTGCGCGGACGAATATTTATGTCCGCGCAATAAATGAGTGCTCTCTTATTCGTTAGAAAAACACAAGTGTGTGGTCTTGCTTTTATCACATACCTTCCGTATTTGGTAGAGATCGATACAATGATTTTATAAACTTTGAAACTTTTTGCAAATACCAGGAACTTTTCAGTTCGCCATGACAAGGGGATTTCCATAAAAAGTAGTTCCGGCTAGTAGGTAAATACAACATTCCGTATTGCAATACAGAACGTTGTATTTCATAGTCAATTGCTTGTATTACTATAACAAGATTCCACAGGTATGTGATAAAATAGAAACCAAATGCCGGGTCATTAGATCCGGAATGCCAACACTACACCCTTCTGTTACCGTTGTTTTGTGTATAAATCAGAATGACCTAGGATTTGCTTGTGTACCTTTAACTGTGTTATCTAGTAGAAATTACTAAAGTTTGAAGCAATATTGTATGTGATTATTACTTTAATATGGAACTCTTCTGTAAAGGAACTTTTACTGTTATAGGATTTAATAGGATATTAGTGCACGCATTGCTGCCTCTATACCCACATTAATATAGTTTGAAATACATTGTGGTAAACGTAAAACAAGCCTATACATTAGATGCTGTATGATCGTACTTCAACTCATGATCTTTCCAGAACTCGTCCATTTTTTTCTCAAAGTCAAATACATTACGAAATGAAATAACGACTTGTGGGAGACTATTCTAGATATCAATTATACTTTTTATAGTAAGAAAGATGAGCGTAACACACACACACAGAGGTGACTGATCCTTTGTAATGTGGTTAAAGACACAGTATGCTAAAATGAAAGAGAGAATGAAGAGAAAGAGGCCTTTTGCATGAGGCTGTATTATGTAAGAGGGATGATCCCGGGGCACCCCAACTCTTGCATCCCTCCCAAAGATGCTGGGGGAATAAAACAATTTGAACCTAAAAAAAAAAAAGGGGGGGGGCACTGCATCATGGTTCTAGGACTCATTTTTTCATCATCGGTGACGCTGGGGTCCCGAAAAGTCCAAATAGGTCCAAGCTTCTGTTGAAACAAAGGGGCAAATGCATTCAACCCTTAATTTATGAATTTAGAAATACAGTTAAATAATCTGTTCAGTGTGTATATAATGAACCATGCCACTACTTAAAAGAGGTAGCTGTGGTCACCAGATAAGTTACCAGATAACTGTGCTCATCAGATAAGTTACCAGATAACTGTGGTCACCAGATAAGTGTAAATTGGAACAAGTGTTCCAATGTTAAAGTGAATCTTTATGTGGAAAGATACAAAACATAAGGTAAGTCCTCTCTGTCTACTCTAGTTCAATTTATTTTTAAATTCAGTGGTCCAACATGTTTATTACATCTGACAGTGGCAGATCCAGAGACCTACCTGGGGGGGTTTCCAAATTTCCAAGGGGCGGGGGGTTCCAAGTGCGAAAAAATTGAGGGAAATGGTGAAAATGCATGATTTTTAAAGAAAATTCTCAGGGTTGGGAGGGTTTCCTGAAGCCCCAAAAAAACACCTGGATCCGCCATTGCATCATAAACAATTTCAGAGGGATGTGAAAAAAGTCTAGGAACCTAGATTCATTCTGTCTTCGTACTTGCCAACTCTCCTTATTTAGGTAGGAGACTCCCAATTTTGGACCCTTAAGATGAGCCTTTTCTACTGGTGAATTTGCTAAACTATTCCTAATTTCTAAGATCTGATGATTTCATTTGAAAGAACAGCTCAAAAGATGCCATTTAAAAGTGTTATTTTTACCTGGGGGTGTACGAACACATTCTATTTCAGTTTTTAATTTTGAGTGCGCATAATCTCCCCCATGGAAATTTTAAAAAGTTGGCAAGTATGTCTGTTTCTTTGTGATCTATAAAACATATATCGGAACTATACAACTTATTGTTGTTATTTGAACTGGAAAATAAATAATGTTCTAAACTTGATGCTGATTTCAGGACCTGATTCAGGGACCAAACAGAGGGAAGTTCCTGCTAGGACTTGGTGTAATTCTCGGAGTTGTCTCCCTTATTCTTGCTATAGTCGCTGTCACCTGTCCGTGTCGGAGGAAGGAAACGAAACTAGAATAGCATCCCCACATCATCTTTTACATTATTTATATTTTAATTTACATGCATTGGAACATTTTTTTTTTTTCAAATATCATTTTTGCATATATTTACAACCATAACTGAAAAAATTATAAAACCTGATTCACGTTTTTTCAGTACGATTATTATTTGAATACATATGTGTTTTACATGGTATGTGCCTTACAATTTGCAATATTGAATCTTATAACATTTAATGGTTCAGGGAACTGACGACTTCAGTCTTTGTATTTTTGTATTTTCTATATAAATGAGTCTGTTTGTTCATTTCTATGGAAGAGAGTAGGATTTGACCTTTCAATAGAAAGAACCATGTTTCAAAATACCAAATTATGAAAAAAAAAATTAACAATATGTATGATATAAATTTATTTGTTCAGTTGATATATGTACTAATGGTAATGATATTTGTAATGTATAAATGATATCTGTATTTATAATTGAAGTGGTGCATGGGAATATTTTGCTGTCCTATTTTTTGTTATGTTTAAAGCCTGTTGAAATAAAATACATTGTATAAACGAAAGAGTACTTACTGATGTCAAGCGATTGTTTAATTTGTAACATGATTGGAATTATTTTTCGGGTCAATGTTGACCTAGCCATTTGAAGTTAACCAAGGAAAGCATATGTTTACGACATCCCTGGTGTTAAACGACTTACAAGGTAGAACTAGCCTATCGTTGTAGGAGTTCTATAAGAATATCTATCACTTCCGTATATATGCCGGCTTGTATTTTATTATCTAACTATATGATATAAACTCTACCTAACAAGTGCAAAAATAACCTTTAACCTTTGGGAGCACTAGACTCCATAACCCCTAATGACATGTATACAGAAGACTTTCACTTTCACGGATGGGGAAGCACCGGAAGTGGACTAGGTGTTTAAAGGTCAGTAAAAACCCTCTTATGACTTAGGAGAGTACATGTATACAGAAGGCTTTCACGTATGGAGAAGCACCGAAAGTGGACAAAGTGTCTACAGATCAGTAAAAACCCTCTTATGACTTAGGAGAGTACATGTATACAAAAGGCTTTCACGTATGGGGAAGCACCGGAAGTGGACTAGGTGTTTAAAGGTCAGTAAAAACCCTCTTATGACTTAGGAGAGTACATGTATACAGAAGGCTTTCACGTATGGAGAAGCACCGGAAGTGGACTAGGTGTTTAAAGGTCAGTAAAAACCCTCCTATGACTTAGGAGAGTACATGTATACAGAAGGCTTTCACGTATGGAGAAGCATCGGAAGTGGACTAGGTGTCTGCAAATCAGAAGAAAACCTCTTATGACTTAGGAGAGTACATGTATATAGAAGACTTTCATGTATGGGGAATCACCGGAAGTGGACAAAGTGTCTAAAAATCAGAAAAAATACTCTAATGACTTAAGAGAGTACATGTATACTGAAGACTTTCACGCAAGGGGAAGCACCGGAAGTGGACAAAGTGTCTAAAAATCAGAAAAAAACCTCTTATGACTTAGGAGAGTACATGTATACAGAAGGCTTTCACGCATGGGCAAGCACCGGAAGTGGACAAAGTGTTTACAGATCAGGAAAAAACCTCTTATGACTGTGAGCAGGTATTGATTGTTACGTCATTTGTTTGTGAGAGTAACGTCATCAATTTTTGAGAAAACGACGTAATTTTCTCACACAAACCAATGACGTAACAATCAATACCTGCTCACAAGAGAAGATAACTCTGCAATACGCAAAGACGGAATAGACAAGTAGCGAATCAACTAAAACAACAGCTTTTATAAAAGTATCTTGACTCCGTGTGTACTTCAACGTTAAAATGGTTGATGCAAGCACCTCAGAGGTTGGAACTTGGAAGAAATAAAATTCACCAAAATATACAATTTAATTACCATATATCAGCTTCTATTTCAACAGTGAACAGGATCCTAGGCTTTCCATTCAGGACCTTCACATATGTAGATGAAACAATGTTTACGCCATTGTCCAAGTTGTTAGTCAGGCCACACTTGTTAGTCAGGCCACACTTAGAATACTGGTCCGTTGTTTAGCCTTCAACAGGATAAAATATTGCTGGAAACTGCAGCGTTGAGGAACTAAAATGATTCAGAGCCTTTAAGATCTTATTTATCTACAAAAACTCCGCAAACTAGGATTGCCTACCATGGACTACAGACGTGAGAGAGCAGTCGTTATCTTGCGCCTCAACATTTTGGGAGGAATATACAAAGTAAACCACGCAAATATGTTCATAAAGGTACAAACGAGTGTAACATGAGACAAGTTTTTAAATGGAGGACACGTAAACCTGTCTACAGCACCAACTTCTGTTACAGGGTTGTAGACATCTGGAATAGTTTGCCAGACTGCGTAGTTTATTCTCCTAATCTGAACATATGTTAAGCTATTAGAACAATAAGTTTTTTGAAAACACATCAGTTTAAATTCGAGGAAAAGGACATATATGTTATACTTTTCTTTATTCAAGCGCACTGGAAGTGTAAAACCAACAAAACTTTAAACTGCTATCAAAATGCTCCCTGAAAAGTTGCAATGTTTACCATAAAGTCCTCTATATACTCCTTATACGTACCAAGGCAAACACAACACAACACCTACATAGCAAATAGCTGCTCGACCGATAGCACGGACGGAGTCGGCATTTATTCATAAATATAATATGAATAAAACCCAAGCGCGCCACCCAACCTGAAAACCTTATTAGGCGCGACAGGAGGTGTACCAGCCCGACAATGCTTAAGGGTTTTTACAAAATTGATGCCGGGATTTCCTAAATGTGACGATGCCCACACATACATCTGTTACATAAACATAAAATTCTGCTATAATTTTATTTCAAGCTGTACTACGCCGTGCGAGGTGCGAAGCTAGAATGAACATACACGTACCCTAAACTACCCTTAGCATGTGCCTCAATCTGATTGGTCAAAACATCTGCACGAGACAGGCAACTGCCCTCGTATACTCCGTGTATACAGAACAAACATTTCCCGCTATTCTCCGAAACGCGGGAAAGTAATATATCTACAACTACATAAACTATAATAAGTCATTTGGTCCTAGCTAGGCCGTGGGAGTTGGTTGTGATCTACTTTTATATAGAAATCAAGGACATCCTTGTCGTTGTACATCAAAATTCACCAAGTGAAGTGAACAACAGTTCGCCAGCCCAAAGAGTGTAAGGACTACAGGTAACTATTACAGCTCCATAACCCACCTGCGAATGACCAACTTGAAAGTCCCGTGAAACAGAAGGGGAATGAAACTTCTCAAATGTATCAATAAAGGAGCTGGAGATAGATGTTATGACAGGGTCGCCATGGAGATATCTTCTGTTGTTCTAAAATGTATCAATAAAGGAGCTGGAGATAGATATTATAACAGGGTCGCCATGGAGATTTCTCCTGTTGTTCTTGTCTAGCCTTACGTTTATCTCTTTATTTATAAACATTTTCTTCAGATTGATAAGTATGAATAATGAGAAGGTTTTTTTTTACACAACCAATACAATTTTCCATGTGACGTTTCGATGACTAGTACGATAGGTACACTGTCACCTTCATCAGACAAATGACCGGTGAAGCGCATGCACACAAAGGTATAAAATGTGTACGAGTTGTCCACAAATTCGATGTCGATTTTGGCTAGATCCGTTTACGTTTATCTTTTTTGAGTTAGAATAACAGATTAGTTAACACTTTCATAATCTCTTGTTTTCCGTTTATGATCTGAAGAATGTTAAAGACATAACACATACCTTATTTACTACAGGGTAGAATGGGTAATATATACTACAATGTCAGTACAGAGGAGAAGTCGGATATATAGGAGAAACAGGAGGCACCTCAGTAAGAAATGGAACGAGATATTTCTTTGGAACTACACCCAAAACAACAGTGAAGGCGAAAGCGAGCTCGCCACAGTCGTTTTTAGAGCTTATCCTATGCGGCAGCGTCCGTCGTCCGTCAACTTTTTCCTTTAAAACGCTACTAGTCCTGAACGGCTCAGAGGATTTTGACCAAGTTTGGTTTGGTGCATCATTGGCCAAAGGGTTCTCAGTTTTTTTTGTATAAATGGAGGATATGGTCCCCCTGGGGGCAGAGGGGCGGGGCCAAATTGGGGGGAAATAAGTAAATCTTTAAAAATCTTCTTCTTCTCAATCAATCGAAGGATTTTGACCCAATTTGTCCTAGAGCAACTTTGGACAAAGGAGACCCAAGTTTGTATAAACGGAGGGTGTGGCCCCTCGGGGGGGCGGAGGGGTGGGTCCCAATAGGGGAAATAAAGGATTTTTTTCCTCCTGCTATACAAGTGAATGGATTTAAAGCAAATGCAGTCTGAAGCATGATTAGGAACAAAAGAATCAATTTTGTATAAACTGAGGTGTGTGGACCCCTTCTTTGGGGCAGATGAGTGGGGCCAATTAGAGGAAATAGACGAAAACATTAAATATCCTTCTCCTTCTGTACCGTTGAAGGGATTTTAATCTAACCAAACTTGTTCTAGAGAATCTTTGGGCAAAGGGAATTGAATATTTATAAATGAAAATATATTGACGCTGGTATATGTCTAATTATCCTTTATACGATGTCGAGTGTTCTTGTTATTGGTGTTTTTAAGGAATATGAAGACTCATGTAGTCAGTATCTTTAAAACCAGTAGTTAAACATCTTCTTTCAACAGCAAGTCTTAATTATCTAGACGTATTGCCTATCTCTATTATTCATATATGGCCAATTTTGATTAATAACGCATGTACTACTTGTGGTCGCTGTCTATAAGAGTAGTCTTGCTGTGTCTGCTAAGTTCACAGGAAGGACAAGGCTTATACACAATCACACGTTTTATCGGTCACAATAAGACGACGGACTAATGAGACGATGGTATATGTATGTTGGAATATATGGATGAATGCAAAAGTAAACTTTGTGAATCGCTTTGGTACGATCTAGATTGTGATAAAGCGGTATATAAGAACCTGGAATTTTTCTTTTTGTTCCTCTCCTTCTTCTTCATCATCATCTTCTTCTTCTTCCTTTTAGCTCACCTGGTCCGAAGGACCAATGTCAGCTTATGCCATACCGTGGCGTCCGTCGTCCGTACGTCAACAACTTCTTTAAACGACCTCTTCTTCTTAACCACTGATTGGAAATGGTACAAATGGTGGGGCTGACCTCCCAGGGGGCTGAGAGGTGGGGCCAAAAGGGGGCAATTTGGATATAAGAAAGATGAGCGTAACACACACACACAGAGGTGACTGATCCTTTGTAATGTGGTTAAAGACACAGTATGCTAAAATGAAAGAGAGAATGAAGAGAAAGAGGCCTTTTGCATGAGGCTGTATTATGTAAGAGGGATGATCCCGGGGCACCCCAACCCTGGCATCCCTCCCAAAGATGCCGGGGGAATAAAACAATTTGAACCTAAAAAAAGGGGGGGGGGGGCACTGCATCATGGTTTCTCCTTCTAGGACTCATTTTTTCATCATCGGTGACGCTGGGGTCCCAAAATGTCCAAAT